GTGTATATTTTTTAAATACTTCTATAATAAATATAAACTATTAAAATATAAACTATTCTCAGAACAATACAATGGTAGAAATAGAGAGATAGGAAAATCATGTATGTAATAGTTACTCCTGTCCAACTTGTGCATTGTGTACTTTTTGTGTACATGTACTTTTTGTACCATGTTTGTTCTGTTTGCAGTATGCACTCCACCCTCTTCCATTTCAGTCTTTTAGATTTCTTCTTCCAAATATCCTTCTAGTCTATTTATACCCCATTTCACTTTTTCACTTTTTGAGTCTCTCTGCTCCTTCAATTCTGTGGTAATGTCTAATTTTGTCCATCACTGATCTGATAAACTAAGACTAAAAAAGCATCGCACAGGATACAAATGCAAAAACTCTCAAATCAAAGTCATGGAACGTTTTGAAAAACATCTGTTTCAGCTTATGGAAGCTGTGTTTCTTAATTTTCTTTGAATATTTGTAAGAGTACACTAGACGTTACCAGATAGATAAATTCAGATTTAAAAAACAAATGAAGGAAAACCAAACACTTCAGCAGAATGTTACCATTTTATCACAGCATTAAAAGAAACAGTATGAAGCATGACCCAGAAGTGCTCCAATTTTTTTTATAGCATGGACACTATACTTTTTACACAGATACCATGACTGGAAATAATCACAGCCTTAATTATTCATAGGTATGTTGTGTTGTAAAAAAATCTTCAACATATTTGATGGACAAAGCAGAGTTCCATAGCACTAAAAAGCCTTTCAGTGATTCCTAGAGCATGTTTTTTATTTTTAATATCATACTGTAATCTGCCCTTAAAATTTTCAGAGGTGTGGATAGAAAAAAGGGTAAATGTAGAACAAATTCTTCTACAAAATATGAAGTTACTTTTTTCTTTAATAGATAACTTTCTCTAGTATTGACTTAATAATATTTAACTATCTTCTTCCTTACAAGTATAGAAAAATTAGCTGGCCATATTCTGCCTTTCTATCCTCAGGCTCCTTTCCAAGCAGTCTTTGTGAACTAAAAGATAGAAGATGTTCCCAGAAGCAAAACCATAAAGACCCTTAAAAATATGAAGAGGAGCAGTTTAAATTGGAAGTAACTGCTAGATGGTTTTGATGAAGGTTATCTATCCCTATGCCACAAGCCACTTTAATGAAGGTATGATTAACGAGAAAACTGTCGACCGTCCGATTTCTTGCTAATGTGTTTGAAGATTTTAGCTTTGTGGACACTCTTTGATTTCTGGTAACCAAATCCCCCACCTCCACCTCTTTTCTGCAGTCTTCTGCCATGGTTGCTGTTCACATCTAGAATTTTGTTGGTTAAAGAACTTAAAAAGGAGTGATTTTGCTTTTTTAGGTATTGTAAGGGTTAAATTTGAAAGGTTCCTTTTTACATGCTTGTAGGCAAAGGCAATTATTCCAGTTTTACTATTTGCTATGTAACATTTCCTTTAATATACTATTGTTGGAGCATGATGCATTTATGTGGTTAATAGCAATAAGAAAAAAAAAAAAAATCAGCATGTGAAGTAGTATAGGCACTTCAGTAAGTTACACTTAACATAACACACAAACTGAGCTTTGAACCACTGCAGTAAAAGGATACTGAGGTCAACGAAGGGAGGAACTTTAAAACCAAACGAAAGGCTGACTTTGGGAAGATCCAAGTTATTGACATCATAGATCTGCTTCAGAGAATGGGAGTCATAAGCTCTAATGTAAGCTTTGTATGCTTCCTGGGCTGACTTGTGAAGGAAGTAGTTCTTCTCAATCAGTTTTTCCAGCTGGTGAGAGGGATAAAAAACCAAAAAGACATACCCAATTATAGCTGTAACAAGTGTATCAATGATATTCAACCAGATTATTTACTGTGTGAGCTGCAGTGACATTCACTATTCACTTCAGCAAAACTGCTCTGTGACAGCAGAGTGCACATACAAATATCAGAGTGCTTTTATGAACTAATAAAGGGAAAAACCAGCCTGAAACTAAATTACAGTACAAGGCCTCAACAATATGGAAATTTTCAGAAATACTAAAAACCAGTTGGTTAGGAAGGAGTATAAACTGCAGCCATACCACAGAACTCTGTGTATTGAGGATGAATGGACAATGAGAGTATACTTTTAAGTCAGACATCTGAACTGTACCACTCCATGCCATTCTCTATGTAGTCTTATCTGTTATGGTGCATTATAAAATAAGCAATATTAATTCTAAGAAAAGAATGCAGATGTGCAAGTGTAGACAGACATTTTATTTGTTGCAGGCTAAGAGTTTCCAATACTCTACATCCAAGCATCTCATTTGAAGTTTAGCATACACTAATTCAGCATACTAAAAATAAGTTAGACATCATTACTTCCTAGTTATTCCTTCCTAGGAACATCTTTTTCTAAGAAGTATCTTCACTGCTTGTGCCTACTATTTTAAATTTAAGTTACTGCAAAGAAGCTTTACAGAAGTCTTATTGAAAGATTAGTTTCTACTGTCTAGTTCTGCAAACTAACAATAGAAATTCACATCTACAGAACTACCTACACTGCAAAAACACAATTCTTACAAGCAAATTCATACTGTATAATGACAAATTAGCACTAGTTATGAAAACTGATCTTTAATTTCTAAACATTTTATTACTTTACGGTCACCAAGGGACAATATGGCAGCATTTACTGCATAGTACTCACCTACAGGAGCTCTTCCATACAAGTACACATTTTAAAACTGCAGTCATTATAGACTAACATTCTCCATGTAAATGATTATACAGAGTAGTTGTAATATTAAGTAGTTTCATACCTGAGACTGGATGTCTGAAATTTTTGACCACGAAAATTCAAATTCACTTAGTGGTACCTTAAAAAAAAAAAAAATTAAAATACCAAATTATTTATACTGTATAAAAAGCGAATGTGTTTAAGACCTAAGACAATAGAAAAAGACCTAGATAACAGTAAATTTGTTTTTAAACACCAGAGCTCTAACTGTGAAGTGCTTTTACATCAACATGCCAATATTATCACTATGAAGATGCTCTCAGTATGACATTTTTACCACTTCAGCTTTTAACTTTAGAAGCTACACCACTTCAGTTCCAAGTGGCAAGACTCTGTAAACAAGCCCATAAGGAGACCAACTATGAAACTATGTGCAATTCTATCATATTAAAATGATTAAATTTAGAAGAAGGCTACATTTCTTCTGGAATTGAACAAAATGCAATTGACTCTGAATAGAACAAATAAAAACTGCACAAGCAACATCCAGGTTTTAATTTCCTCTGGATGGTCAAATTCCCAGTATCCTTCCACAGAGAGGTCTTAGGAAATATATTTATTATTTAAGCAGCACAACTTACACAGTTGCAAAGCAACTACAAATACACTCAATATTTAGCTTCATGCTGCTGACTTTCAAGTCATGTGTTCAGTTAAATAAAACAACAGAAAAATAAAATAAAATACCCTGGCTTGTTTTAGGTACCGAAGAAAGCCCAATTCCTCTGGTCGTAAAATGAGCAGAGCATGTCCTCTGCCATTTATGCCTCTGGCAGTTCTACCAACACGATGAATATATTCCTTTTGGAAAGAAGAGAAACAGCAAGTCCAATCAGTCTTTCAAACAGGTAATAATCAAACAGGTTCACAACGTCCCCCCGCCCCAAATGTAACATTAATATAGTGTAATGCATCATTCCTTATTTTTCAAGACTTTTTCTTAGCACTGACAGATGGATGAAGGTAACCAAGTGCTGAAGATGTGAAGCATCAGCATTAGGCTGAGGCAGAACCCCTGACTAAAAGTATTTTACCTGTTATTGCAGAAAGGGAAAAAACCTCAGTCTGTTGTAACTGAAAATTAAACTCTGCTTTTTGTGTATTTGCTGTTTGTATTTGTCAAAACTTCTGAGTTTGAGTTTTGCTTGTTTACACTGGTCATTTACTCAAATAAGACGACTGACTTAAATAAAAATCTAATTGTCACTGGAAAAGCTATTTGGAGACTCAGGGACGCATACATAAACTCATACTCTTCCTGGTAAGTGTTTGTTTAGCTGATGACATTCTAAATTGATTTAACAGCACAAAGAATAATGTTTTTAAAAGCAACTCTCCAAAAAGATAACGAAGGTCTGAGCTAGGTGCAGCATCTCCTAGGAGCTGGTGAAGTGAAGCAGAAAAAAACAGTGGCTAGATCTGAACATGGCTGAATCCTGACCTCTGTCAAGCAGCAGTTTCAGCTTCTCTTTCCAATGACATGTGTCATTTGAATCATTGCTGTGAAGTTTTTGTATTTCTTGAACTTACCTTTGGATCATCTGGAGGGTCATACTGGACAATCCAGTCAACTTCAGGAATATCCAATCCTCTGGCAGCTACGTCGGTGCACAACAGTATTCCAGATTCTGCATTACAGAACTGGAAAAATGTTGTAGTACGTTTGGTTTGTTTCTGTTTTCCCTAAAAGGAAACACATTAAGGATGAAATACCAACTAAATAAACCCAAAATAAAGTCTGCCAGCTTGTAAGCTTGAACCTCATTTCCCACTTCACATACTATATATCCCTGCCAAAACCAGAAAATAATTTGGGGAATCTTTCCATATCATGGATTTGTACAGAGCAAGCAGGACTGTTTCACAGTGAAGAAACACTGCTATCACAGCCAACAGCACAGGGCTACATGAAGTGGTATTTCAGAGGTTATCTTGCTACCTTCCAAGAACATTAAAAATTTGGTTGTGTATGCATTCTTTTCAGGAGGGCCTGAAGTTCAGAAAAAGGATATTTGCAAGTCCAGCATCATGTTACACAGATTATAGGTTCAAAAACCAACCCAACAAAACCCATACTTGTAACAGTTCTATCAAAGTACAGAAAAAAAATCCCCAAAAGAACAAAATAAAAACAGACATTTGTGGTCAGTTGTACCTGTTTCACACTTTCAGTCAATTCTCTCTCCTGAACTATGCATTTTGTGGTTTTAACAAAAAATTTAAAAACCTTATCCAAATGGTAAGAACTGGTGTAGTAAAAGTAAGCATCACCCTTGCCTTAGAAAAAGCACATAACATTTCAGGGACCAGAAGGCTTGGATTCTTCTGTCAAGAGCTTTGCCCCACAAACTGAGTTTTAGTGCTTGCAAAAGGCAACCCGTTGGAAGAAAGGAGAAAGATTTGTATACACAGGGCACAGGTTAGTATTGGTGTTCAGCCCTGCTTTGGAAAACAGCAAGATTAACAATATTGCAAGGTTGTTATCACATGGTCTTTGCTTTATCTCCTTCCTCTACAGACTAAGGAAGATCATCAGCAGTTTGAGGAGAAGTGCCTCTTTATTAGAAACTGGACTGAAATAAGGAAGGCAAATGCAAGGTCAATAACAACTTACAGAGACTATAGATTAATTGAAAAAAAAAAAATCCATGATTAAAACACTTACATGAATGGCCAAAACAGGCAGATCAATGTAGTTGAGTAATTCATAGTGGTACTTCACTGACATACATGAGGAAAAAAACACCATTAGTTTCTTCTTCCGGTTCTTCTTGAGGAATGTGAAGAGCAGAAGGAATCTTTTTTCAGATGGACACACTACGTACCCCTGGAAAATTTTAAAGTATTGTTACATGACTCAGTATGGAACAAACTTTTGTTTGAGCAATACAATTAAATGAGGGAAATGTTATGTTGTGAAACAAATATGCCAAATAGTTCATTTTTCCAGCTGTGTTGGACCAAGCCTTCAATTTATTGTCTGTCCTTCACATTGGTATATGGATCTCCTAAACATGATGAACTTGGCAAGAAACTTACTGTACTAACTTGAAATATGAAGAAGTAATTTTTAATTAATGGTCCAGTATAAGTTCAGTGAAGTGCAATCAGTTTATACAATAAAAAATCATTTCAAGAACTTTGAATTACTGATGTTAGGCATGAAAAAGCCTGAACAGGGTTCTTACATTTTATGATTTCAAGAATTTTATTTTATGGAATTACTTGCTACTTGTTTACTCTTTTAAGGTAACATATAGCTACAGTTAATTTTATAACAACAGTTATGTCAGCTGCACAAACACAAACTGCCCTCCAGCTCCATTTAGCTATTATCTGGAGCAGCAACAATGAAATATGTATTTCTAGTCAGTACTGTGGAAAACAAAGAAACACAATGGGAGCTTAAGTGTGCAATATAGATAGGCAGAGACAAGTGTAAGTAACTATATTGCTATTTCATGAGGTTTTATGTGATCTAACCTGCAAATATTGACTAGATGCATGTAACTTACTATAGTCAGAAGACTGAAAAAAGCCCTTTAGGCAACTGATGGCTTTTGCCTGTTAAGATGGTAAACGCCCTTTAAGACAGTGTGTGTACAAGCCAGTTAAAACCACGTAGGGCTTGATATGTCCACAAATCCTAACCCTTTTAGCAACATTTGCATCTTACCTGTTCAAGACCATCTACTGTTGCTGTTTCCTTGTTATCATCAACCCCAACATACAGTGGCTCTTTCTTCAGAGAGATCTTTGCCAGATCTTCAACCTTTCTGGTTTGTGTAGCAGAAAAAAGCATTGTCTGCCTGCGCTCTGAAAAAATATTTATTTTAAAAGACAGCTTCATTTTTTAAAGAGGAATTCAAACAGCAAGTCCATAAAATATCTAACTGCAAACTTCCCTGAGCAAGTCTTCTACCCTTTTCAGTTAAATTCTAATTTACACATACTGCTCCTGACAAAGACAGGTGCAGTTGCATTATGGATTACACAAGATGTTTACTTAGGCTGCCCTCACCCCCAAAATCACAACTACTGTCAAAACACAGTATTCTCTCTCTCTGGGAAAATATTAATAATCATTTGCACTCTAATTTAGACAAAACCCAAATGACTTAAATAGAGACTGACCTTGTAATTCTAACTATAAATAAAATTTAATCCCCATTAATATTTAAAATAAAAAAAAAAAAAAACAAAACACCAAAACAACCCAAGGAATCATACTAAAGATTGTACAAGAAAAAACATATCGAGACTGAAGTGCATTGTTACTGTTTGTCTTGCAAACTCAATGAACAGTGTATCTTCTGGACTAACATTCCTCACAAGATGTTATTTATTGGATTTCTGTATCTGTATTTTTAAAGTGGAGATCTGAATTTTAATATTTAAAAAATGGAACCTCAAAATATTTATCACTGCTTTTTAAATACTATTTCCGTGGGGGTTTTTTTTCCCCCTGTGTTTTGAGAATAAAAGGGAGAGCTTTGTTGACTCTGAGAATGTTTTTAGCACCTCAATTGCAAGGAATAACTGAATGAAAATTTAGGAAAAGAAAATTTTAAGGTAAATACTTAAGCATCCTTAAGACACTGTTCTTGGAGGTATGAAGAAAATGCAAACTGCAAATCAGAAGACCTTTTTCCTTACATTTAAGCCTTACTAGGAAATAATGAATTGTAGGAAATAAATAGGCAGAGCAAGATGTATAAGAGAATGTAGATATTAAATTAAAAGGAACTTACACGAACAGAATTATAACCCTGAAGTACAAATGAAAACTGTCCTTCAGATACGTGATGTTAAATAAAGTAATATATACTAGCTATCAGAAAAAAAAGACAATGAGAACTATAAAAATTAATGACTTCTCCTACAATAACTGAGTTATAAAAAACACATAATGTTAGTCAAGTGATTTCCAGGAAAGACCGAATCTTTTTTTTCTTACTTGGTAGAAGCTTTATGATCTGTTTCATTTCTTCTTCAAATCCAACCTCCAAGATACGATCTGCCTCATCAATTACCAAACACTGCAAGTTCTTATACATGAAACCTGGAGTGTTCTAGAAGATGAACGAATTCAGAATCAGACAGGAACAGGAATTTTACTGTGTTTTAATAACACAGATTAGACATCAATATTTTACCTACCTGCATATGATCCAGCAGTCTTCCCGGTGTTGCTACAATGATATTGATTCCATTTCCAAGCTTCTGTGCTTCTGCTGACCTGTTACTGCCCCCCATTATCAGGCCATAGGTGTGAACATGGTGATTCATAAGTTCTTTAAGAACCCCATAGGTTTGCATAGCAAGCTCTCGAGTAGGAGAAAGAATAATGACACCTGTTCCTAAAAAACACATCAGTGGGACAAGTCACGACCTGTTCAGTCCCTGTCCCGCTCACCTCCCTAAACAGCTGCATCACAGTCAAATCCAGCTGTGAAACAGAGACTTACCATTTCTAGGCATGAATTTTAGCTTGTAGATGAGCTCTATTGCAGGGATGAGAAACGCAAGGGTTTTGCCACTGCCCGTTTTCGCAGCTGCTAAAATATCCCTGTATGCAGCAAAGTTAGAAAAAAAAGGGCTTAGCTGATTCTTCAGAAAAAAGAACAATCCTGTTTTGAACACTGATGAAGTAAAAATGAAACAGGGCTAAAAGGAAACCAGCAGAGTTGGTATTAAGAGCTTGGTGGCTGATGAGGCCCACGGCAACCCGTCACCATGTCTCTAGTGACAGCATGAGGCAGTGTCCGAGACACACTGACAAGACTCATGAAAACACACCTCCCTGCTTTCAAAGCCAAATGCAACACAGTTTCCATGAGCTTACCCCAAGTATTTGCTCACCTGCAACACAGATACACTTTGTTAACTTGTACTTTATGTATTTAGGTTCCCAGCAACATGCACACAACATTTGGGGTCAATACAATGTTAAGAAGGCCTATTTCTTACCTGCCTTCCAGAAGTGGCCTAATGCTTTTATGCTGAATTTCAGTCATATGGGTAAAACCCATGTCATTTATGCCTTTCAGTGTATTCTCACTGACAATACCAGCCAAGGAAGTAAAAGAATTGTCTTCAAAAGCACCTGGAGGGGGGAATTAACAAAAATATTCAAACTTATTTCTTCAATTCCACCTGTTCTGAGATTACCCAGTAAAAGTTGACCTAGATGGAAAAAAATCAATGCAAAAGATGTTTCTTACTCCTTTCTACCATAAAATCCAATGACATTGACAAATATTCTGTATTAATGTTCCTAAGAATATTACACAGAGCTGCAAAAAACGCACATGAGTGCACACCTTCTGCTGGCAAAATTTACCAGTCCTACATCTCCATCTTGCTCTTCCCTGACTTCTTCCTCTACAGTTGGGGATATGTTTTGAGACAGATTTTCATCAGTAATTTTAAGACTAACAGGAGCGTGTATATAATGCAAATTTCAAAGAACAGTAACTGAGTAAAAGCTGTACAGATACCAGTGTCAGGTCACCTGTATTCAAGCACTTAAAAAGCTAGTCAGAAAACAGCAACTTGCTCTGAGTAAGTGTTATACCCTGACTTGTTGCACATGTATGAAAAAGAGAACACGAGATACCTGTTAAACCTGATGGTAAACTTGGTACTTCATCCTCCTCCTCCTCTTCCACTTCCTTCTCTCCAGAATCCTGCTTATCTTCATCTTCTACCTCCACAGATTCATTTTCTTCAGTTTTTGCTTTTTTAGCTTCTGTATCTGGAGCGTGATTTTACAGAAGATAAGTCAGTTAGTGACAGGAAGGCCATGTTCATCATCAGAAGTTTTTCCACAATCTGAATGTCTTTAATCTGTAAACCATGTACAAACATCATGCTTTTTTTTCCATGAGAGGAGGGCAGCAGAAGAGTTGCTAAGCTTTCTGTGGAACTTTCTGAGGCAGAGAGCAAAAAATTCAGAAGGTCCTTGCACACAGTCCATTTGACACAGTAAAACAGCAAGCTTAATGTATCCGATACAAAATTTTCTTTGGAAACAAGTTTCAAAACTGTTCCCTGCCTGTAATGCAGACATCAAGTTTCCAACAAAGTTTGTGTGAAATGTAATGTCTGTTCTGCTTTAAGTACCTGAATCCTCATGGAATTGCATGAAAATATCTGTTCATGTGCATAACCATGAGAAGTGTCACAACAAGCACACACGTAAAAAACAGAAATTTCAAATCCATGTAAAAATATAGACACATATATATATACACAAGTATAAAAAGATCTAAAAATGTAACAATATTTGCAGGATGCAGTTTTACAGGCTGGTTTCCCAGTATACTTCAGTTTCATAATACACAGAGATACTGCCAAAGGCTGGATTCGTTGCTAAAATGTGTACTGGTTGGATATTCACGCACAGAAACCATCCAGCTATCAAAGCTCCGCTCTGAAAGACAGTATATCTATATTTGTATAATAAGCAAGAAAAACATCCCAGCTTAACATTACAAAGCAGAATCCTATGCAACAATTAAATCGGTTGCTACCAGTTCAGGTGCAACAGATAACACCGAGAGCCTCCAGGGCTTTCAAACGTACCCCCGCCCAACATGCGGCTC